AATAACCACTTAATACCAGGTGGGCTGTGAGCTCGTCCACCCATCTAAGCAATGAATAAAAAAACCTTAACTTTTAACTTTCTTCTGTAGCGTTTCCTATGGCACTTAGGTTTCTCCAGCATTGTTTCTAGAACTATTCAGAGATATCCGGTTGAAGGTTGAAGTATTTTCGTATGAGCTGTATTTCGGAGTGGATACGTACGCTCGATCTATTGTTCCTTCCTACTGTGCAAACTTGCTAAAGGAGAATACGATGTTCCCGAACTCTTATCTCTTTTGAACTTTAATATATCGTTGACGTCGACGAGAGCTTCCAAGTTGAAGGTCTTCATAGGTCCTAGATACTGCATCAACCTCGGTAAGAATGCCACTTTCAACAGACTAGTTGGAAAACTAAATAATTTGGTAGGCATTCTTTGGATTTTTGAAGTTATACTTCTTTAGGCGCGTTATGAAAAATTGATGAGAGTGAAATTTTACGATGCGCGCGCACCGTGACACAAAATTAACAGAAATGAAGTTGCCCACTAAATCGCTCATTACAATACAACCGACGTAAATTGGCGAGTCTGAATATAGCCGCAGGTGAACTTTCGCGCATGTACACTCGTAAAAAAAAGTGTTATTAGCATTCATTTTTTAACGTTAAATATTTATTATTAATTATTTAATATTAAAAAAAAAAGAAATAAATTTAATAAAAATAAAGTATAACTTCTTACGCGCGTACATAAGTACACGCATCCTTTTTTGCTAACACTGTTGGCTGTTTTAGACTAGACGTCTACAACCTTAACCTTACTTGATGAACTTATTTCTTATATGTAATAATGTATGTAGTATTAAATGTAGTAGTGTTTGATAATGTTAAATCCTGTAATGTTACTGGTGGTAGGACCTCTTGTGAGTCCGCACGGGTAGGTACCACCACCCTGCCTATTTCTGCCGTGAAGCAGTAATGCGTTTCGGTTTGAAGGGTGGGGCAGCCGTTGTAACTATAATTGAGACCTTAGAGCTTATATCTCAAGGTGGGTGGCGCATTTACGTTGTAGATGTCTGTGGGCTCCAGTAACCACTTAACACCAGGTGGGCTGTGAGCTCGTCCACGCATCTAAGCAATAAAAAAAAAATAAAAAAAATGTTATATTTTTAGAACCAAAACATGAATTGCTTGTTTCACTAAATGCATACATTCGATACCTGTAATTGTGTTAGCGCTTAGTGTGGGATTGACATATGTATGTGCTAATTGTAATATTTTTTGCTAATGTATAATATATTGATACACAATAAAAATAAATAATAGTTTAAAAAAACTTACAAAATACGTTTTTATAGAAAATCCAACTAAAAAATTAAAAATCCATTTTAATAAAAATTAAAGATAGTGTAAGAAAAAATGATTTTATTGTAAAAAAAAGCGTGGGGTGCTTTTCAGAATATTATCAAAATAGCCCTTCTACTCATATCTGTTCATAAAATATTTATAACTGCTGATACCAGGCACTCCACGCTTTTTTTTACAATAAAATCATTTTTTCTTACACTATTTTTTTTTTATTCAAATTTATTAAAATTTATTTTTAGTTATAATTTCTTTAAAAGTGTATTTTTTAGTTTTTTAAACTATTATTTATTTTTCATTTTTTTGGTTGAATTTAAATTTTTTCAGTTTTTTTTTAAATATTGCATGTTCGTCGCTTCTTAATAAGTACACCAAATTTCAAGTTAATCCGACGTTTTGAAGGGGATCAAAATCATGTTCAAAGATTCCGTTACAAACATACATACGTCTGAAGCTAATAAAAGCGTATTAAAAAAAAAAACAAATAAAAACAATTTATTATTAATTATTACGGAAATTATGATGGAAAACGACTTCACAGCACATCGTGTGTTAAGTGATAGCCGAATAGCCGATAAGCCGAAACTGAACCACATCAGAACGGAAATGCCACTACCCGCCCTTAGACATGAGGTCAATGTTTTCATTATATTATGGAACAGCTTTTTCATCTGCTAAACCAGAACTCGCTCCGCTGTAGAACTATGATAGTAGTTATGTAGGTAGTACATACATACGCAGATACATGCGTGCATACGCATCAGTTAATGATTTCTCATTAAATTCGTGACTGTCAGTGAGATTTGAACCGGACATATATCTTTAAACGAGCAATTCTTGTATATAAATAATATATATAATCTGAATCTCGAAAACGGTTCCAACGATTTTCATAAAATTTTGTAAACAGGGGATTTCAGGGGCGATAAATCGATCTAGCCACGATTTGTTTTCAGAAATGTTGTTTTATTCGTGTTTTCAATAATCAACTTTATCGATAATTTTGATTTTTTCTTTAAATAACCAGTTCATATTTTTTTTGTTATGCTGTCGGTAAGATCGAAAAATGTTATTCATATTTCATGATTTTATCAATATGTAATACGTATTTAAATGTAATTTCTAAAAAACACAATTTATCAAAAAAAAATACAGAGCAAAGTTCGGTCAATATCTAGTTTTTCTTTAAGCTACGAAGAGTTCGTAAGTATTCACTTTATTTTACATCAACCAGGCGATGGTAACAAAACATATACGAATCGGATTATCCAAGGAATGTCTCCATTAAAACAAAGGCATTGTTAACCTACACGGAGCCAAAGCTACGTAACGACTTATGTCAGTGAGCCTTGATATTTGTTCTCACTCATAAATATACATATTTACAGGAACGATTTACGCAAAAGATAAAATATATATTTTACTCCTCGGAAATGCGAAATCCCCGTCAAATTATGAAGCGGTATGAGCAAGAATTAAACTAATGCGTAGCTACTTTACGATTATTTTTCATTTTATATTTACAGTAACAACGTGTCGATATTTCGACTCTATTTTATTGCACTAAATGGGAGAATAGGATAACATTATCGTCAAAGAAGTTGTATCTCTTTGAAAATTACTTCAATTAAATAAAAACAATTGAAATAAAGTATCAAGTTTCGATAAAGAGCTTCACAGATTTAGAGAAACAAAACTCAGTTCTTGATCCATTTAGGTGAAACATTAGTCCGAGATGGACAGTTAAATCAGTAAGCCTGTATTTAAAAGATACAATTGAAAAAGTTTTGATGCTGTTTTACTTCGAACCACAGAATTAGCTGCCAGTCCAGACTTATACTATGATACATTATGATCATATGACGAAATTGGCATTTTAACAACGATCCAACGTCATCACACAATCATCGCTGTAAAATCAATGCACAGGGCTTAGCGGTATTCTATAGCTATAGCCACAGCCATATTGGTATGATTGCAACCAAGGCAGTGGATTTTCCAGTTACTTTTATAATCGAGATAAAAAGGCTACGATCAATAATGTATGTCGTGAATAAAGACTTTAGTAATACAAGACATTGTTTTGATTATTATTTTTAAATGATAAAATGTTGTTTTGATAAATATCACAAAAATGTAGGGTAGACGCCGTAACGTCAGAGTATAAAATGGCGGTACGTGGACAGAGTCGTTTAAGTCGTTTAAGTCTGTCAGTCTGTCAGTCTGTCAATCACTCAGTCAGTATCAGGCAGTCAGTCCGTCAGTCGGTCTCAGACAGACAGTCGACTGATTGACTTTCAGTCGGTCAGTTGAAACGAAACTGTTGGTTTACCCTGTCATTGTGCAAGTTGTTTGTTGAAAGTTTCAATAATTGTTATTCAAGAGGCTATAGATTTTTATTGCAATAAACTGAGTTCTACCAAATACGAATGATGACGGAAATGTCGCTCAGCCATTCCTGGCGCCGTCTTATACATTAAATAATAACCAATTATGGCATATAGCAAACAGTTTATCACGACCCAATTTTGTCGACTGATACCGATTGCGCGTCCGTTTCTAAACGTAGAGCTTTTCCCGGTATTTTGGACTAAAGAAACTTTTAGGAGCAATTAAAATTTTATGCCGATCCACGGACCAATCCTGCTGCAATACAAAGGGTATATTGCCCATATAAGATACTCGAAAGGTCTATTTCCAAATTAGGCAGCTATTTAATGAGACTTAAGCGAAGTTTCAGTAATTAGTGGGTAAAATGTAACTTTTTTCTAATAACAGCTTTTGTTTAGATGGGAAAATTATGAAAATAGCATTTTAATTAAAGTACCTAAGCCAGATTCCCAATACCGAAAAAAAATCAATTCATTTCAACTCAGAACTGATGTAACTGTAAGATATTTCAAAACTGTTACATCCAGATCCATTGCCAACGAAACTGTCTAACTGCTTGATATTGCTGCATCTCTGTCTAACTGATTGCATTACGCTTCGTAAAAATGAGATGAAACACAACTGGGAAAAATCTACAAATTCAAAAACTAATTAGATTCAGATTCCAAGTCGCTTCATTACGTATGACTGTTTTGCGGCACGTCTTTATTGAATAGACGGGTAGCTCACAGCTCATTTGGTGCTAAGTTTTTAAAGTTTTAAGAGACTATAAACATAACAAGACACTGTTGCTATCACCTTGTTACATAAGGATCTAAGTCACAATGGTATAGTAAATAGATATGCCACTCTTCAAAGTAGAATGCTTTAATACTCCGCGCTAGAAATAGGCAGAATGGTGGTACCTACAAGGCCCCATAACAGCAATGATTATGCACGTCATAATCTATCTATCTATATATAAAATGAATTGCTGTTCGTTAGTCTCGCTAAAACTCGAGAACGGCTGGACCGATTTGACTAATTTTGGTCTTGAATTGTTTGTGGAAGTCCAGAGAAGGTTTGAAAGGTAGATAAATATGAAAATGCTCGGAATTAAATATAAAAACAAACAATTTTGTTTTTCCTTTGATGTGTCCCCCGTTGGATGGATTCCTTTTGTTTGTTTTAAGTTTATTTTATACAAAAGTTTAGGTATTTTATTTATCGATTGAGGCACTACAAAGTCTGTCGGGTCAGCCTGTTTTTCTATAAAATATCTTACCGTTGATGTGGACAGCAATAGCCGGGGGCATCACAAATATGCCGACCAGAAGATCCGCTACAGCAAGACTCGTCACAAAGCAATTGGTCACCGTACGCAGCCTTTTCGTCGTCAAAACTGCGGATATTATCAAAGTATTCCCAATGACAGTCACCACGATCAACAAAAACAACACAATCACGACACTGATCTCTAGACTATCGTATTTATCTTCGAAACATAAGGTTGAGTTTTCCTTGCAGCTATTATTATTAAAGACAGCTTCAGTTGCTTTAGCTATAGCGTAGGAAGTTGTGTTTTTGTCTTTTTCTAAATCTATGATCATATCTGTTTCTGTCTCTTTCGTTTCGTTCCATTCTGGAATGTCTTCGGATGGTGATTTCATGTGACTGCTTCGGAGGATTTGGCCGAGATGGGGATTTTATTCGCATTTTCTGTAACAAAGAAAAATAATGCGTTATACGTAATGTAATGGCGTTTTATTACCTGTCTTTGAAATATTACGGTTGATATTCAATTATGTGTATATACCTATATGTGTTGTATATAAAATTTCAAATTTTTTTTACGTATACATCTAAAAATTACTAATTTAATTATGTTATTTTTAATGGTGGTAGGACCACTTGTTAGTCTGCGTGGGTAGGTACCACCACCCTGCCTATTTCTGCCGGGAAGCAGTAATGCGTTTCGGTTTGAAGGGTGGGGCAGCCGTTGTAACTATACTTGAGACCTTAGAACTTATATCTCAAGGTGGGTGGCATATTTACGTTGTAGATGTCTATGGGCTCCAGTAACCACTTAAAACAAGGTGGTCTGTGAGCCCGTCCACCCATCCAAGCACCAAAAAAATATATGGATATATATGCATGGATGAGAATTAGAGTTGGCTTGGGGTGACTTACAGGTCACTTGGTTTTTAGTTGTTACTTGGTGCTCTGATGACGTCACCAACACCACCTACCCTAATCTATGGGGTCAAAGAATCTTTTATATATAAAACGACTGCTCTGTTCTAGATCTAAGTTTTGATCTAAGACCAGTAAGAGCCAACAATACATTTCTTTTTAATGGTAAGATGGGTCGACGAACTCTCGGCCTACCCGGGGTTAAAGGTTACTGGATCCCATAGATATCCACATTGTTAAGCCACCACCCACTTTGACATGACATGACTACTAAGTCTTACTTTTATAGTATAACTAGCGACCCGCCCTCGCTTCGCTTCAGAAACTAATTTATTATTGGTTTTTCCACTACTTAATGGATGTTATTGTACATATAAACGTTCCTCTTCAATCACTCTATCTATTAAAAAAAACCGCATCAAAATCCGTTGCGTAGTTTTAAAGATACATAGGGACAGAGAAAGCGACTTTGTTTTATACTATGTAGTGATGGTTGCTTCACCCTTCAAACCGAAACGCATTACTGCTTCACGGCAAAACCAGGTAGAGTGGGAGTACTGTGCGGGTCATACCACCAGTAATATTAGTCTACCTACCACCGTTCTACCACTAGTAATACATATACATACTATTAACATTTCGCATTGGATAAATTATTAGATGAGAAAAATATAGTAATTCTTAAATAAATTTCGATGTGAAAGAGTCGATATGAACGGAAGCTTCAAAGAAACAAAAATGTACACCCGACTATCTTTCCTTTTATAAATCTACGTTTTAATACTGAAAAGCTTAAAGGAAAACGCTCTAATAATTTTCAGTACACGGCTTTTTCCAGCTTCGTCGGTTTTTAGGTCGGCAGCGGATGTGATTTTAAAAAACATTTTTGTCTTATTTTTTTTAAGCTATTGCATAGATTTTATCGCGGGCCTTGAGCGCGGCTTGAGAGCGGAATCATGAAATTCCGTAACGAAAAAAACCTTCCACCCCTCACTACGCCTACTATGTAGCTCGCGTTCAACACATTCACACATTGCGCTTGTGTTGTGTTTAAAGTAAGAAGACTGAACACCGATTCAAGTATCAAAATATGTGATATAATTTCGTGGGTAACACAACGATAGCGCGATTCAGCTTTTGCGCCCAGCGCCATCTATCGGCGACAAACGGAATTGTAAAATAGAAAATTATATCACATTACAATGCGTTGGGCGTGCCATTTTCTATCGCTTAGTCGAAGAATTTTATTACTACTCCTACTACTCATTCAGTGATTGGAGTGGCATTAAAAATAAACTAGCTAAACCGTTGATTCTGGGCGAATGAGAGTTAGAACTAGCATCCAAAGGCGTGTCTCTATCNACTCATTCAGTGATTGGAGTGGCATTAAAAATAAACTAGCTAAACCGTTGATTCTGGGCGAATGAGAGTTAGAACTAGCATCCAAAGGCGTGTCTCTATCCCATGTAGCGCCCTCTAGTGAGTGCGCGGTCAAAATGGAATACTCACAATGTAGCAGATTCATTGAAAGTTAGCCCACTGAGTTTCTCGCCGGATCTTATGTTATTGTTGTTTTGATATTAAATAATTATTGTCGATTTATAATTGCATAAGTTGATAAAAAATGCTATGCAATAGCTTTACCGCGGCAGCCTCCGAGTGCCACACGTCTTTTTTTATTTTTTTTAATTGTCACGTGTCTCTAGACGATTCGATGAACGAATCTCTAAAGATTTCTGGCTTCATTATGATAAAATGAGCTTTTGCGCAAATGACTGATTCGTGTCCAATTTGTCTTTTTCAGCAACTGCGTTGTGATAAACGTGACTGTCAAGTTTCGTAATTAGCTGCGTGTACCCTTCGATCTGCCGACACTGCGTTGAGCTGTTCTCAAATCAACATTGAGAAGGTCGGTCACCGTCTATACCAGTTACACCTTAAATACGTAACCGCTGATACTAGGTTTTAATATAGAACTAGTAGTCCCGCACTAGTCGAAATTCGACTATAATTAATTGAAATTATAAGTTTGAACGTTATTATGGTTCTATTGTCAAAGACTATCTATACTAATATTATAAAGAGGAAAGATTTGTTTGTTTGTTTGTCTTGAATAGGCTCCGAAACTACTGAACCGATTTTAAAAAATCTTTCACTGTTGGAAAGCTACGCTATCCCCGGGTGACATAGGCTATATTTATTATATTTTCAAAAATTTAGGGATCCTTACTGAAACTTCAATAATGTAACCCAATGTGTAAAAAAATTACCTTAAATTCTTTACATTGCGAGCGCTACTTCCCAAGCGAAGCCGGGGCGGGCCGCTAGATATTTATAATTCTATAATCACAGATTTCGCCAAGACTACACTATAGACAAATAAACAATATTAAACTATTCTTAATTTAATCACAAACTAACAGAGCAACAAAAGTTTGACAATAAACATAGAGTATTCATATGCGTGTGTGTCAAATACATGGTAGTGTGTGTAACGTTTTTTTTTAATTGATTTATTGTATTATTAATGCATAATTTAAAAAGAATTACCATCCGGCACTCCTTCGCTGTAAGTGTGGGAAATTTCATACTCCTCCGTCCGCGCAATTTTCGTAAAAAGGGGTACAAAGTTTTTGTTTCACGTATTAATATATAGATACTTCGACAGTGCCTAAAATTCGTAGAAGTGCTGAGTACTCAACGCAACGGTTTTAAGTACTACGCTTTCAGAACAAGCCCACAGTTTTAAGCAAGGTTCTATTGATCTTAGGGCATATTGTAAGCCTGTAGGTAGTGATGCTCTTCAGCTTAGGATAGGAAGACTTTACAAATACAACAGTTTTTTTTATTGCTTTGATAGGTAGACGAGCTCACAGCCCACCTGGTGGTTAAGTGGTTACTGGAGCCCATAGATATCTACGGCGTAAATGCACCACCCATCTTGAGATTAAAGTTCTAAAATCTCAAGTATAGTTAAAACGGCTGCCCCACCCTTCAAACCGAAACGCATTACTGCTTCACGGCTGAAATAGGCAGGGCGGTGGTACCTACCCGCGCGGACTCACAAGAGGTCCTACCACCAGTAATTACGCAAATTATAATTTTGCGGGTTTGATTTTTATTACACGATGTTATTCCTTCACCGTGGAAATCAATCGTGAACATTTGTTAAGTACGTATTTCATTAGAAAAATTGGTACCCGCCTGAGATTCGAACACCGGTGCATCGCTCAACACGTAACTATGCACCCACGTCTTATCCTCTAAGCCACGACGGCTTCTAAAACACATCTCATCGTTGGATCGTCATAAATACACAAGAAACGCGTTTCCAAAAAAACTTAAATCTAACTAAATTTAGCATTGATTCGTTTCACTAACTTGTTTTATTATAGGTGCATTATTTCATTATAGTTTTGTCGCGTGAGTGTGCTTTAGCAAATGTGAAAAGATCATGTACCCAACAGGTCTGGTATATACATATGTTTTACAAAATAGGTTTTTATTTAAGTCTTTATTCGCATCTTAGCTATGACGATTAAGATAAGATTATGACGATAGAAAGGATAGCGGTACTGTGAATCCTGGATTTTATAAAGAAGCATCACGATCTCAACTATCAGTACACTGTTATTATCTATATATTAATACGTGAAGCAAAAACTTTGTATCCCTTTTTACGAAAATTGCGCGGACGGAGGAGTATGAAATTTTCCACACTTTTAGAGAATATAGAGAAGAAGTGCACAATGCTAATATTTTTTTAAAATAATGCATTAAAGATACATTAAATCAGTAAAGAAAAGATTACACACACTACATACCATGTATTTGACGCACACACGTAGGTATGCATACTATTTATTGTCAAACTTTTGTTCTTGACGTCTGTTGTCAAATTGAGAATAGATTAAATATTGTTTGTCTTTGTTAATATTTTTTATAGTGTAGTCCTGGCGAAATTTGTGATTATAGAAGTATAAAATACAATCATAATAGTGTAAAATCTTACAATTTCAATTAATTATAGTCGAATTTCGACTACTGTGGGACCACTAGTTTGATTATAATTTCGGCTCCGACGGCATCCGCAACCGCGCGCTTAAACTGTTACCAGCCCAACTGATAACGATGTTGGCCACCATATTAAATGCTGCTATGACGAACTGCATCTTTCCCGCGGCGTGGAAAGAAGCGGACGTTATCGGCATACACAAGCCGGGCAAACCGAAGAACGAAACCGCGAGTTACCGCCCCATCAGTCTCCTCCCGGNTCTTCTCAGTGGGTCGCGTTTCCAATCCGGTGGTAGATTCTGCGAAGCACGACTCTTGCTAGGGTTCGTGTTAGCAACATCGTCAGGTTTGAGCCCCGTGAGCTCACCTACTAAAGTTAGGGTTACGCTGAAATAGCCGCTAGGGCTATCAGCTTAGGTAGGGAAAAAAAAAAAAAAAAAAAAAAAAAAGATTATAATTTATG